ATACGAAGAATTAAGAGTAGCGTTAACAATATCTTGCCTAGATCCTTTTGCAATGATAGGCAAAATTGNAATTACTACAAACCCGAAAAAAACTCCCCCTAAAAAAATATAAGCAAATCTTACAGAGAAAAATTATATAATACATCGGAAATACATAAATTAAATTATTAAAAAAACATATGAATACATTCATGGAATATAGACAGGGAATACAATGAAATACATAGAATACAGCGGGATACATTGAAATACAATGAAAAAAAAGACAATGAATACAATGAAAAACATAGAATACAGCGAGATACATTGAAATACAATGAAAAATATTAATAGAAAATTCAAGTTGCTCAGCCCCAAACTCTGCCGTCTTCGATCAAGAACAACCCTAATGTTGTCCTGCCGTCACGGTTGCCGTTGTTACGTTGGAGAAAATTTCTATATCGAAAATTTCTAAACGGAATCCCTAAAGTCGACTAAATCACGACAAATTCAGTATTCCTAACAATTAGAATGAAGAGGGGCGTTGTGGAAACGATGAGGACGAAAATGGAGGAACTTAGATTGATTTTTGACAGAGAAATTCCCATTCAACAGCAGAAATTGGATGCTGCCACTCACTCCTTTCGAAAATCCCTCAATTCAACCAAGGCCCAAGCACAAGAGTCTCTTCAATTACACAATCAGAAGCCCAAAGTTGAGTAAATCAATCAAATGCAGTAGCAATTATTTTCTCAAATGCTAACAAAAGAATTTTACCCCCTTTTTTTCGTATTTTCTGGAATGGGGGAAGAGGATGGAGTGTATCAAATTAGAGAGAGAATGTGGAGTGAGAAGTTTACATCAAATACAATAATTATGTGAGAGAAAAATCTGAAAAGGGAGAGAGAAAAATAAAAAACAGCGTATATAGTGGCTTAAGGGGAGGAGGTAACCAAAAATAGATATTTTGCTATAAACATTAAAATGTATCTATAGAATATAATATTTTAAAATGGTGTTTAATTAAAATATATAAGGTGTTAACCTTTGCTATAGGAGATAGAAATTCCTTTATCTCATTTTTTTGGTTTTCTTCTCTCATTTTAATATAATAACCAATTACTCCATTGCATTAAAAAATTAGCCTTGTAACTGTAACTCCTTAATAAATTGGGAAAGAGGAAGAAAGGTGTCGTTACAAACTTTCATCAAACGCCTAAAACCTTTGGCCTTTCAGTTTCTCCAGTTTTAGAGGGGCAGGGTATTGATCTTATATATGGAGAACACTTGGCCCGTTTAGGATCGGGCCCGGCCCACATAGCCCGGGACCATTAGTTCGTGGTTTCAGTCCCGATCTGGTTACACCCAAAAGCCCACGAAGCCCGGGACCCGTTTAAGCCCGGGCCCACATAGAACCGGCCCGTTTAGGACCAGGCCCGGACTGTTTGCTACCCTAATTTGTGAAGAACTTCTCCATGTCTATGGAGTAGTTCCTTTTGGATTTTGATGGATTTGGTGTATTGATGATTGTTTGTGGACTAGAACTCTTATTTTATGTATTTGAATCGTTTTTGGAAGATTTAATTGCTGCATCTATATTCACTTGTTCTTGTAATCGAAAGAGGCATAACTTATCATTGCATTATATTGTTGGTTGAGTTCATAGATTCTTCTAAGTAATCGAAAGAGGTTAGTTGAATCGTTGATTAAACCTAATTAGGAAAATAATCGAAAGAGATTTTCCTAAAGACCGATCCACTGCGCATTCTTGCATATCTTCACAGCGCTTAAATTGGTTCATCTCGTGAGGTTAAGACTTAATCGAGAGAGGAGTTTTTGCTGAGTGTTTGAAATAATAATAGAGTGAATTCGAGAGACTCACTCAAACATTGGAAGTGAATTATCTAGAGTTAGATCCCGAATAATTATCTTGTACTTATTCCGTCAAAACCCTATCCTCTCCCACCGATAATTTTAATTGTGTATTCCTTGTTTCGATAGTCACTAGTCAATAGCTGTAGATTTTAGATTCTTAGTTAAATCTTATTATTAATCGTATAAATCTCAACTGTTGATCTTACTGGATAGCAATCAATATACAAACTACGAGAATGTTGTTTAAATCCAATCCCTGTGGACACGATATTATACTATACTATCTTTAACTAACGAGCACAACTGAGCAACATCGAGTTTTTGGGTATTGTAGATGCATAAGAGTGGGAGATGTTGAAGGGGCTATGCGCAAGATGAGTAAGGATATAGCGACCGGTCTAGACAAGATCCTTGTGGAATTATGGAAGAGGGTAAGGCGGGCTTGGAATGGCTCTCTAGGTTGTTTAACGTAATTTTTAGGACAAAGAAAATGCTTGAAGAGTGGAGGTGTAGTACGATGATTCCACCGTACAAGAACAAGGAGATATCCAAAACTACAATAACTATAGGGGTATCAAGTTGTTGAGCCATACGATGAAAGTTTGGGAGAGGGTGACTGAGGGGAGGATGAGGAGAAGTGTATCCATTTTCGAGAACTAGTTTGATTTTATGCCGGGACGGTCAACTACGGAAGCCATTCACCTTGTAAGGAGATTGGTGGAGAAGTATCGAGCGATAAAGAAGGACCTGCATATGGTGTTCATTGACCTAGAGAAAGCTTATGACAGTCCGAAAGAGGATTTATAGAGATTTTTGGAGGCTACGAGAGTATCAGTAGCGTATATTCGCATGGTCCAGGACACGTATGATAGATCTAAGACGGGTAACGACCACAGGAGGAGACTCTGATTACTTTTTGATTGATATGGGGGTTATATAAGGGATCAACACTTAGCCCGTTTTTATTTTCCTTGGCAATGGACGCATTGACGCGACACATTCAAGGGGAGGTGCCTTGGTGCATGTTATTTGCGTATGACATAGTTCTAATTGATGAGACGCGAGGTGGTGTTAACGAAAGGCTGGAAGTCTGGAGACATACCCTTGAGTCTAAAGGTTTCAAGTTGAGCAAGACCACGATAGAATACTTGGAGTGCAAGTTCAGCGGTGTTACCTAGGAAGCGGACGAGGATGCGAGGCTTGATACGCAAGTCATTCCCATGGGGGAGAGCTTTAAGTACCTTGGGCCTATGATTCAGAGTGATGGGGAGATTGACGAGGATGTCACATATCGTATCGGAGCAGGGTGGATGAAGTGGAGGCTCACTTCCGGTGTCTTGTGCGATAAGAATGTGCCGTTGAAACTTTAAGATAAATTCTACAAGATAGTGGTTAGACCGACTATGTTGCATGAGGCAGAGTGTTGGCCAGTCAAGAAATCCCATGTCCAACAAATGAATGTAGCTGAAATGAGGATGTTGAGATGGATGTGTGGGCATACTAGGTTAGATATAATTAAGAATGGAGTTATTCGGGAAAAGGTGAGAGTGACCCTGTGGAGGAAAAGATGCGAGAGGCGAGGCTGAGATGGTTCGGGCATGTTAAAAGGAGAAGCACAGATGCCCCAGGCAGGAGGTGTGAGAGGTTGGACTTGGGGGTAAGAGGAAGGGTATAGGTAGGCCAAAGAAGTCTTGGGGAGGGTTATCAGGCGGGACATAGCGCAACTTGAGCTAACCGGGGACATGACCTTTGATAGGAGGGTGTGGAGGTTGAGAATTAGTGCAGAATGTTATTAGATAGTCGAGCGTTTCTCGTTGTCTTCCTTAGTGCAATAGTATTAGTGTTAGTATGGTATCACTTTTATCCTTAGTTTACTAGTACCACATATTTTGTACGTTTATTACTTGCCATCAGTAATCTCTTAATTTGCTATCACTATATATCTTGCACTATTATTACTTGCTGTCGGTACTTCTTTCATCTTCTCTTTTGCTATCATATATGGATTTAGTTTTCCAATTATCCTGTATTGTTATTACTTGCTATCAGTGCTTTTTTCATTTTTTCTCTAGCCGAGGGTCTACCGGAAACAGTCTCTCTGCCCTTCCGGGTAGGGGTAAGGTTGTGTACATCCTATCCTCCCCCAGACTCCACTTGTAAGAATACACTGAGTTGTTGTTGTTGTTGTTGTTGTAGTTATTTGTAAATTCTAACCTCAGTAATGTGGATGTTCAAGTAAGATAAAACTTACAATTAGTGAGTTGTGTTTATTTAGTCCTCCTACTTGACAAACTTAATAGATTTTAAGTTTAAATAAGTAATTAAAGTACTAATAAAACCTTATCATAGCATAAAACATGAGTATTCGCATAGTTTAACAATTTTGAAAATTAACAAGTGCAAATTAACAGTACTTTGAACCTCTTGATGGAACACAAGTTTAACAGTATGGCGCAAAAAATGCCAATACATTTGCAATCCCTAACACACTGTTGATATTAATATTTGGATGCATAATGACTGTTAATTAATAATAACTCACTTTTCAAATCTTACCTTAACTTGGGATGTTCCTATTCCTTTAATTCTTTTTTTTTCCCTCCCAAATTAGGAGGATCTATGGTGTTTCACACACTTCCCCTCCAGCTTCACTCGAACCCAAGACCAAACGGTAGTTGGCGGAGGTGCTTTACCCCTTTTATTCTATAGCATAATTAGTTAATTACCGGAATTATTTACAATTTATGAAAGTAATAAGGGGCTCTCAAATGCCTTGTTAGCTATTGTAGTAGTTTTTTTCACAACATCCTTCTCTGTCCCTCCCCCCAACTCAACTGCAGATCCTAACTTTTGAGGAGGAAGGAGACCTAAATCAAGGCAAAACCAATTTTAACAAAAGTTTAGGGGGCGAAAGCATATTTCGCATCTTGTCGATTTTTCTGGTGACATTTTGAAGGGATTAAAACAAAAACATCATGCTCCACTCCTAACTAGATGCGGTAAGGTTTACTAACTACAAAATACTCATTTAATTCGAATTTACTACATAAGTCGGATATTTGGAGCTCACCTAATCAGATGTGCTCCAAAAGTGTTGAAATGATAGGTGAGGAAATCATAATAGAATTTAAATTATAATGTAGATATGAAGGCAAACTTCACATTCACTTGTTACAATTTCTTTACTAATATATGATAAAACATAATCCATCAGTCATTCGCAGTACAACTTCATATAGTAGTATTAACTGAGCAAATATATAAAAAGAAAAACAAAAGGTGCGTAGTAGTATCATTTAAATCTCTGCACAAGTAAAATCAACCCCACAAAACAAAATTAAAGCGAGTATGTTGAAGTCCTTCCAGCTAAATCAAGAGAAGCCATGTCTCAAACTTTTACACATTGGAAGCGTTGTCTTGCTTGAAATGAGTTGAAGGCAAAGGAGCAGCAACAGTAGCAGTAGGACAAGTACCAGGGGGTGGAGTGGGTACACCAAAAACTTGGGGATTGGTTCTGAGATCTTGTCTACCTTTAGCTCTCCCAAGAAAATAACACCCAAATCCAATAAATATTGTGAATATTATAAATGGAAGTGATATAACCACTACCATACCCATCTCTTGCTTTTTTGTTGTTCTTTGCTTCTATGGAGTTTGTGGTGGGTGACGGAATGCAGAGAATATGGAGGAAGGAAGGTCTAGATTTTGTCTATGGAAGATTCTATGTGTAGAATTGATGTTTTAAAGAGTTGGGTGAGCTGGATTCTAACGGTAGGCTTAACGTTCAAGCTTCTAACGGATACTTCTTGTTTATTGGCCACTTCATTTTTCCATAGAGAGAGAGAGAGAGAGATGGAATATACTGACAGCTTAGAGGAATTTTGTTTACTTTCTTTGGACAAAAAGATTTATCTTAGCTCCACTAGTTTTTTTTTTTTAAATAATATTTTACACCTTTAGGTGGCGCATTCCTTTTATATTAATCCCAGCAAAAAAAGCACATAACACAGGGCGACTTCACCTGACCTCTGTTCATTACATCCAAAAGACCATACTTATAACTGCTAATAGAACAAATACAAGGATATGTATATTACATAAGGAAGTCTACCTATGTATGTATGGAGTTCTCAAAAAGTGCTTATGCAGAAAATTACATACATTCAGTAACAAATTTACTTCTTCCCTTGTGTCTAAATGTAGCCATTTGTATCTTGTCCATTATATATGGGCTTGTAGCTTGATTCGGAAGATTCTTGCAATTATAAAAGATAGAATTCCCATGAACGATGCTCCATTTAGCCGATGCATCTGCTACTTGATTAGCTTCACGATAGCAATGCTGGATTGAATACTCGCAAGATTGCAAGAGTTGTATAATATCCTTAATTGTTGTCCTGCATTTGCCAAGAATGATTGTACAAGCCTTTCAACATGTTAACCAAGATCAAAGAGTCACATTCTAAGATCAAATTGCGATATCCCTGGTCGATGCACCATTTAACTCCAATCAATGCCGCTTTAGTCTCAGCTAAGTTACTACTACCCCTTCCCAGTTGTTGTGCAAATGTCATAATCAAAACACCATTAGAATTTCTAATGATTCCCCCTGATCCCATATTTCCTTCTCCATCCGTACTACCATCTGTGTTAAGTTTAACCCAATTTACAACTGGTTTAATCCATCTAACAATAGTAGTTTCAACAGTAAGAACAAGTGCATAAATTTGTTGGCAGATAACATCCCATTGGTTGCCCCAACTTGTCTAGCTATCCTCCAACCCGATGTTGTAGTGAATTTGCCATTATAAGTTGGCATCCAAATAGGAGCATCATGCTTCCTGTGATCTTCAATGGTAGTAGATAAAATCTGTTCAGTCATGTATTCAGATAGTTGTCAAATGTTTTCCATAGTCTGATAGTTGTAGATAAAATCTTTGAATTTTTTTTTCCCCAAAACATAATCATATTTCATAAACAAATAATATTTTCATTTTTTTTTTTTTGAAAAAATGAAGCCAAAATCTATGGTCGTGTGGAGGGTAAAATTTATTCTAAGAAATAATGTCTATTCTAAATTTTTGGTTTTGATTGTAAAGGTTATGCTATGGAGTATTTTATGTTCTGCTCGTACAATCCCTTTTGGTGCGCCTTACATTTGAGTTTTTGTTTTACCTATACTGAATAAATTGGGAAATGTTGTGATAGATAGGCTAGCTGAAAGTTGTTGCAATTATTTGCAGTAAATAGACAAACCATTTCATGGTTTTGTTAAAGTGAATCTTCAGTACTGGATGTGTATTATCTGCTGGAACTTTTTCAATAAAGTAAAAGCATCTGTTGAACTGGACACTAGAAACATCTAACGAAAACAATTGATTCCTTCTTGAAAGATACCACAAAATTTTAAATAACACGAAACGGAAACGGATCCATGTGAACCATTATTTGGACCATCATCTGAATTTCGAACTGCGCTTACCATTATTTGGAACATTATCTGAATTTAGCTGATTATTTAAACTGAAAGTTCAGACTAGCACAACTAAATGGATGATAAAAGGCAGAGAAAATCTAATGAAACTGATTTAAGATCAATCTGCTTTCTCTTGCTCATCGACTTCGGGAGTCTCTTGTTCAGCTTTCTCTTGCTCGGCTTCCTGCACCTCCTTCTCCGTCTTCCTTCCTTTCTTGGATTTATAGTACGCGCTCATGAAGGTTCCGATGGCTTTATATTTTTTTCTGCACTGCTCGTAGAGGCTATTATCAAACATCCTCCAGAAGTTCTTCTCGGTCAGCTCAGTGACCGCGTATTGAGCCTGGAACCCATGGTTTTCGATCAACCAAAGCTCCAGTTGGCGGCATTTCTCTGCACCATCAAAGGGCTCACCCCTCAGGACAGCTCCAGGAACATAGTAGACGCCGATATCAGTATACATTTGAGCATATTCAGTGTCACCCTGCCTGCGGTGTGCCTCAAATCCTGGTTCAGGATAGATCATAGGTTTCACAGGCAGCTTGTAAATTCTGTGTGGGCAGAGCCAGATGGGATATACCTAAACAAATTTAATTCAAATACAATCAGAACTTGATGCAGAAATACCCTGAAAACAACTAAAGCAAATACTAAGGCCCATAGAAAAGTATTTCTTCTATTCGTTGCACTCTTGGAACAAACATGAAAACCATCGAGATCACAGTCAATCTTATCGTGCATGAACAGAAAACAAAGAGTATAGAGTATTACCTCCATTTCGCGGTGGACCCACTCAAGACAATCTCCAACCTTGTAAAGAGGAACAAGCAGATCCTGAATGACATGATGATCATGGTAATAGTTCCTGATAGCCTCACTTTGAGTGGCCTTGAGCAGAGCAATCTTGGGTGGCATGAGCCATCCTAGGAGAAACCTAAACCAGAACTGATCACCAAATGGAAGAATTAGTTTCCCTTCCCAATATAAGGATCTTGTGTGCCTGTGGTAGTAGTCCCTAGTTGGAATGTACTCCACAAATTCCCCTCTTTTTAGTGCAGTTTGAGCATGCTGGTAAAACCATGGTTTGAACCACCAACCATAATTGTTGATTACATTACCCCTCTGCTTGGCTTCCTGTTTCGAAGCATATCTACCGGTCATCATAACACCTTCTGTGGGACTATAAATCATGCCTTCTACCATCTCTGGAACTTTAGAAGGATTGTCCTGGTCCCCATCTCTAGGTGCAAAAGAATCCGCATAAGCCTGCGCAAGCTCTTTAAGATTACCAGTTACAGGTTTGTAGGTAAGCCTCACGTACTCCTTAACTGGTATAAGCTTGATCTCAGCTGAAACAAGAAGACCCAATGTCCCCTGAGACCATGGGATAGCATAAAAAAGATCAGAATACTCATTGTCCTTTGTAGCTCTAACCACCCGTCCGTCTGCTAGAACTACCTCAAGTGATACAACAGTGTCAGAGAACAATCCAAAGATGTGAGAGCTTCCTTCAATCCCGAAGCCATTGATCAGACCACCAACCGTCAGATCATCAAGCTCAGCAAGAACTGCAAGGGAAAGATTCATTGGGACAGTAACTCTTGATATTTGGCCCATATTCACCAGAGGCTCAACTCTGGCAATCATTCTTTCCTTGTCAATTTCAAGTACATTTCTGAACTTAGAAAGATCAACTTCAAAATGACGAGCACGCTTATAGTCAACATTTCTCATTCCAACAACCACCCATGGAGGCCTTCCTGTGCAGACAAGACCATCCTTTGATGCATCCCTCTCCCCAAGGCGCTTCACGACCTCTTTAACATTTTCATCGTGTTCCTTCTGACGCTGCTCGTATGATTTCCTCTCAGATTTAACATCCCCTAGATATATGGAGAAGTAATACAGGAACGAGAAAGGAAGGACAAAGAAGATAACAATGATCCATCTGAATTGGAGAAGAAAGTCCACCACCTGCTTCTTCCTCTTGGGACGAAGGGGGGTCTTAGCATCCGACATCTTGGAAAAAGAGGCCAGTACAGCTGTAACAATGATGAAACCAAGTTATGAACCACAAACAAGAACTGTGCTTCTCGCATATCCAGTTTACAACTTTAAATTCCAGATCTAATGAAATTTAGGTCATGGACAAATAAACAAGGAACGAAATGAAGAACAATACTGTTTTCAATCACATATAGGAAATATTCTGTATTCAGAAGCGTTGAAGCAGATCGGCCGAGCACCACTTTGTAATGAAATTTGCAATAATAGATTTGGAGTAAATGTGAGTGTCATTACTGTCAAGTCCCATTTGCCATTTAAGTTTAAGGGGAAAAAAAAGCACTTCACTGCACAGACACGGACTGTGTATATGTATAAGGATTGAGAAATAGAATGACCTCCCTTCTTTATTCCAAGAGCAAAAGAACATAGGATAAATTTTTTTAAGAAACTCAATGCACCTCACTCTTAGGCAAACAGCACATATATGATAAAAACAGCACAGGTATAATGTTATTGCAAGTCAGACTAGCATCTTGAGTAACAGCCTTCGGTGAAAAGTGCCAAGAGGGAAGTTCAGTTTTATTTCAAAACCAAGTGGAAAGTGATGCATAACAGCATTGAGCGTCCTCACTCTTGCTACTAATAATCATTGTAAAATCAACCGATGTCAAGGTAAAAACTGACTAAAGAACCCAATGAAGATTAGTGCTGAAGGAAAACGATAATAAAAGCTCCCAATTTCAATTATTGACATCCTGAAGCTAGTTCTATCCAGCTATTCAGTGGCGGATCTACATGCTGATTTTGGGTGCTCAAGCACCCATTATCTTTGACAAGATTTAGTAAATTTTTATAGCTAATTATAAAAATATTTAGATAAATATTGAGTGAGCACCCATAACTAAACTCTATTTTTTCTTTCAGAATTTTTATCAGTGAGCACCCACACGACTTTAAAATCCTGGATCCGCCACTGCAGCTATTTCTTTCAAAAGGATCAGATAACACAATCTCAAGACCAGGGGAAAACAGAAACCACACATGGTCATGGCAAATTCTATGAACTACTAAGTAGTTAGAATTAGAAATCTAGAGTTTCGTAATTAGATTTTTCTCCATAGTAGGATTAGGGAGTAACTGCTGTCAACGAAAACAGAGTAACTCGATCAGACCCGCAAAATTACATCTCGTGGAATTTTGACAATTGAGTAAATTTAACATGCAAAACAAACAAATTATGTTCTTACCATGTAACTTTTGCAACAACAATAACAAACCCAGTGT